CCAGCGTGAGTCTCGTGTGGCACGCGACGTTCGCGGGGACAGCAATTGATGACCGGCCACTGGACGTTGCCGCGCGAGAGAAAGCGGACAAATTGAGAACGATGTGGGTGGAAAATCGCGGTTCAAAAGCGTCCCTGTGTTCTCTTTCCATACTTTCCACCGTGATATTTCATAATCCTCGCTTCTCCTCCTCCTACGATCTCTTGAAAATCGTTTCACCCGGCAAGAATATCGCAGTCGCCGGGCATTAGCGGCGCGCCGGCTGTTTACAAACAGCAATAATCATCTTCGTGACGTGTATTAGGTTGAGGTAGCGATTGCGTGGAACGGGGAACTGGCAACGCGTGCGCCGGTCGAGTTTGTACCACTTAGCCAGCAGATACGGGGGTTCGATGAGCGAGGCTAATGCTGAAATAATGCGACACTGGTCGCTGGTCCGCCGCGCGTGTGCAAACCGAAAACGCTCCGCGATTCCCGATCGCGCCACTGGCAGTCGGTCGAAGAAATACAGATCGCGAGATTTAGAGAGCTCTTGTGTTCTCAGGTTTCGAACCGATTTCACTATCTCGCTATATTTCTTCCGTCGACTGTACATTTACTTTGTTCAACGGTTCTTATCAACTCGCACGAGGAGTTAGTTATCGAATTCGTTGGGTTTCCCTCTTTCAGAGAAGACGGCGCTCCCGCGAAGTCACTCTCATTTTACTTTGAATTTTATTTCCAATCTAGAGTATCGGCAAGGCTACACTTGCTTTACCGTTTCCAATTAAATCTTCGCTCTTATTCCCCGGCTGCAATTGTAAAATTGTTCGTCACTTTGTTTCCTCTTTGGCCAGCGCCCGTTGACGAGCGTATTTGCGCAATTACCGCGACCCCGAGGAGGACGCCGAACGAGATTAACGCCGTCGTTCTTCCAGTTTCCCCAGTCGGAAGTATTGGGCTCCAGTGTGATGTAATGGTCGGCCAGAGGCAGCCCATAAGCGGAAGGAGCAAAAGGAAGCGCGTCAATGGAGCCCGGTATTTTACTCTTGGAAGTTTACCTCCTTTTTTCCCCCTCCGTTCATATAGCGCAACGATGAACTTTGAAGCTCGTGAATGTTTCAAAGTTCGCCGTGCTTCGTCAGTAACGGTGGATACAGCGACGAAACGAAATACCGTGGCACAGCCGGAGAGCGTAACGATAATAATTAATGCTCCAAGTTTCTGGCGTCGAATCGCGCGCGTCAGAATCTCGAGACGTTCCAGATTAATCTCGTCTACTTTCGCCGCCTCCCTCGAGAGATACCTCTCTCTCTCTCTCTCTCTCTATCTGTCCCTCTTTCAAAAACTCTCCAACGATCTCTCTAGTGTTTAACGATGAGCAGATATGGGGGAAGAATTGTCCTTTCTGTTTCGTACATGATTGTACGAAAGTGTGGAACCCGTCTTCTAATCTCGATGACAGATTCTTCGTAAGCGAAATTTGCTCAGTCTTCGCTGAAGAATATTAAACGAAAGCAGCGGGACATAAATACGAGTTGCGGTTTTCGTTTTGGGGAAAAATGATGGCGTACACGGTGAATTTGGAGCACAGTGGCGGCGGCGTTGTGAAATCTCTCCTCCCAACTCGTCCGCTTTCGTATCGTCGCCCTTTTTCCACGCGAATATTTCGTCCGCGCAGTAGGCACAGCGGATTTTCATAATGAAATTACCGCTCGTGTAACATCTGCGTGCTTTTACGCCAGAGATCGTGGCCGGCACGTCCACCTGTTATTCCAGATACAAAGAATCTCACCGCAGGAGCAAAAAACCACAGAGACAATAAAGTTCGTTCTCGTCGTAGTGAATAATTAGCAAAACGACACGCGCGTACGCGTACCTCTCGATTTACACCGACATGTACTTAATCCAATTAAGAGGGGAAGTTTCTCGAATATTTTTCAACAACCGTTCCGCTTCGAATTTCTTTTTTTCTCCCTCGCGGACGCGTAATCCTCTTATCGCCACGGTGCACTGGTTTATAGTGACGCTTAATTAATACGATAATTACGACCGCGTAATACAGCTTTCCCACCTCTGCACATCGCCGCCGTTCATTCACTTTCGAATCGCGTTTCACTCCGTCAAAATTAACTACCTGGTTGTGCGCTCACCTCGCACCGTTCCTATATACTCGTATTTATTAGCGCTGTGCTGCGCTGCTGCTCGTGGCTACAGGCTGCGTGCTTTTTTTCACCAGTGGCCCGGGAAGCTGTGGCAGAGCGCACAATTTCATTAGAGGCGACGTCCACTTTCCTGTTTTCGGCGCATCACTTCTAATTCCCGAATTTTCAGCCGACCAACGGTCGCTCGCTCTAGACTATAGACTATTTCGAGAGAGAGGCTGTCTCTCACGGCTCCCAGACGCAGCCGCCAAGATTTATCGCACGAGATCGCGCGACGTGCTTCCAATTAACCCTCGAATAAATTCCTGGCCCAGTCTGACTTTGTTCCGCGCGAACGTCGCTTTTCTTTTTGCCCGGAGAGCCGGCACATTGTACTCCGACATGGTACCCATTGTCCGTTCTCCAAATTTCTCGCGACTCCCTCTGTGCCGATCTTATATTCTCATTTTCACCGGCATAGAAGAGAAAGGGAGCAGTCGCCAGGTTTATCTCCTTTTTTCTCCACACTGGTCGATGTCAGACGGTGTTTTCTCTTCTCTATCGAGGAGGAAAAGCCGGGAGATCCCGGGAGGGATACACCGCAGAAGACACGGTTTCCTGTTCGCCTGGAAAATACCGATAGGCTCCGCGAGACGGCATTGTGCCAGTCTGCTCCATTCAATCCCTGTCTACTCTCCGCCCTATCTCTTCTTTTGGTACATTCGGATCGCGCGAAAACTTCGTCCTCGATATCCATGTAAAATGCACGCAGAATTCTCGACTTTAAGAGGGTAGAATTATACGTGTGCACGTTAGAGACGAGGGAATTTCCAGGATCGAGAGTTTCGTCGTTCGCGGAAATGTGGTAATTCGAACGCGATCCGTATCTGGCCTCGGAAAAAGCCGCTCGAAAAGCGGAGCTCGTGGTGGCGAGAGGGATGGGATTGTATCGGAGAGAATTAAATAAAAATCACGCGAACTGGAGATTTGGTGAACGCGGAAGAGCCAGGAACG